TATATATATATATATATATATATATATATATATATATATATATATATATATATATATATATATATATATATATATATATATATATATATATATATATATATATATATATATATATATATATATATATATATATGATAAATATGTGATATGCAATTACATAAAATGGTCACAAAGACTTTTATGTTGAGTGTTGTCAGTTTAATTGTTGTCACAGTTTCTTCATTACTATGTTCACCTTTAGTTTACAGGTGCATGTATTAAAATAATATGAAATTACATAAATAAAATGGTCACAAGGACTCTTGTTTTTAATATTGTCAGTTTGTCACAGTCTCTTTATTATTTTGTTCACCTGTGTCTTATTTATTTAACATGTATATTTATTAAAATAACTACTAAAAATAAAAATAAATGAAAATAAATTTGTTACAAACACTCTTATTTAGAGCATTGTTATTTCCTTTTATTTCATTTTTTCTTTATTGTCATAGTTTCCTCATTACTGATTATGTTCACCAGTGTCTTATTTAGTTTACATGAATATGTACTAATATAATATGCAACTACATAAATAAAATAGTCACAGGGACTCTTATTTTGAGTGTTGTCAGTTTACTTGTCACAGTTTCTTCATTACTTATTATGCTCACCTGTGTCTTGTGTATATATAGGCGACGCAGTGGCGCAGTGGGTAGCACATTCGCCTCACAGCAAGAAGGTCGCTGGATTGCTGGTTCGATACTTGGCTGAGTTGAAGTTTCTGTGTGGAGTTTGCATGTTCTCCCTGCACTCCCGTGGGTTTCCTCCGGGTGCTCCGGTTTCCCCCACAGTCCAAAGACATGCGCTACAGGTGGATTGGGATGGCTAAATTGTCCGTAGTGTATGAGTGTGTGTGTGAATGTGTGGATGTTTCCCAGAGATGGGTTGCGGCTGGAAGGGCATCCGCTGCGTAAAAACTTGCTGGATAAGTTGGTGGTTCATTCCGCTGTGGTGACCCCACATTAATAAGGGACTAAGAAAATGAATGAATGATATATATATATATATATATATATATATATATATATATATATATATATATATATGTGGGCA